CTGAAATCACACTGAAAAAAAAAAAGGAGTTTTGGGCTTAAAATCCACTCTCCTGAGAGAGGGAGGGCTCCTCTTGGCCTTGCTGGTGGAAGGCTGTGTCTGTGTTTTCCCCTGAACGTTGCTTGTGTCCTTAGAGCCTCCCCCTCCCCTGTGAACAGTGTGGTGGCCCATCAGGGAGGTCTCCACAGCTTCTCAGAGGGTTCTTTTGCCTCTCCCAGGATGTTTGATGTTGGTGGCCAACGGTCGGAGCGGAAGAAGTGGATCCACTGCTTTGAAGGGGTGACTGCCATTATCTTCTGCGTGGCCCTCAGTGATTATGACCTTGTCCTGGCTGAGGATGAGGAAATGGTACGTTCTGGAGGAGCTGCTGGTGCCTGCCCTGCAGGAGGGAGGTGGGATCGTGGCCTGGGCACGACTCTGGAGTCCTCCTCTTGTTACACTTGTGGACACGAGCGCTCCCCTGCAGCAGCCTGCAGGATCCTGCCCCAGAAACTGGGACAAATGAAGAAATGAGACTTTTCCCCACCCCCCAGGCCCTGGTTACAGGGAGGTGCCTGCTGTTGTCCCTGCAGTTGTGAGCACCCTGCAGGGAACAGCCACATCCAGGGCGAGTTACAGGGCGAGGAGGTGACCCAAGCCCTGCTCAGGGTTGTCCCTGTGGTGACATGGCAGTGAGGATGTTGGCCCTGCAATGGGTTGCCCAGGGAGGGGGTTGAGGCCCCATCCCTGGGGGTCTTTAAGGCCAGGCTGGAGGAGGCTCTGGGCAGCCTGATCTAGTGGGAGGTGTCCCTGCTCATGGCAGAGGGGTTGGAACTGGGGGATCCTTGTGGTCCCTTCCAACCCTGACAGATTCTGATCTGTTTTAGCAGAGGACTTTAGAGCCCTAATGGCTCAAGGGTTGGACTTGATGATCTTGGAGGTCCCTTCCAACCTAAAGGATTCTATGACACTCAGCTCTAGTCCAACCTCTGCCTGTCCAACCCCCCTGTCCTCCCCCAATAAATCTGGGATGATCCATCACCAAATCTTCTCATTTTCTTTTCCAGAACCGGATGCACGAGAGCATGAAACTGTTTGACAGCATTTGTAACAACAAGTGGTTTACAGACACATCCATCATCCTCTTCTTGAACAAGAAAGACCTGTTTGAGGAAAAGATTAAGAAAAGCCCACTAACAATCTGCTACCCAGAGTACACAGGTAGGGCTGGGCACAGGGAGCTCTGCTTGTGTTGCCACAAGTCCTGCACAACCCAGGAGAGCCTAAAAGCTCCTCTGTTTGCCCATTCCCATAACTCTGTCTCCTGGGCAGCATCTCAGGGCTGTCCAGTTAGCTGATGGCTCGTTTTCTCAGAGGAGATGTGGTTGTGTGTGGCTGAGGTCTGGAGCAGCCTCTGTCTGGGTTTTATGGCCTGGAGGCCAAAGAGCAAAGTTTGCTCCAGCAAATTGAGGTCACTCCGTGTCTTCCACCTATTACTGGCACCAGACTTTCATTTAACTTCAATTTTACAGGCTTTGAAATATATCTGTGTCCTGAGCATGGATCTTGTCCACCCTGCTGTGTCTGTGCTTCACTGCCCAGGGAGCCACCTCTGGAGTGTTGGGTCCAGTGCTGGGCTCCCCAGTTCAAGAGAGACAAGGAGCTGCTG